ACACAAGTGTGTAGTACTATAGTAAGGCACTATAATATATATAATGCCCTAACTTTATTAGCAAGTAGTGATGATAAAAAGTAGCAGTGACTGCTACTCATACATAATATAACAGTGATTTTATCACACTTCGATTTATGAAATAGTGATATGCGACTATTTATTTGTTTATTATTATTATTATTTTTTTATATTATATATATTATATTTATTTGATATGCTAGTTGCTACTTGCTACAACAGTACTATACACTTGTGTCCATTATATAGTCACAGTGTAGATAAATTTATGTTAAGACTGTAGATACTAAAAATAGTGGAAATTGGAAGTAGTTTACTCCATAGAGCATGTTTTACTAATAATAAATAATTATAACATGGATTGAAATATAATGTAATATTTTTATAGATAATATATTTTAGATAAAATACCATTCATTAAAATAACACATATTAAAACATATAAATTTGTGATTTTAGATAGATATTTATTGATATTATAATATTTGTTAATTTATTATATTAGTCATTATTCATAGGTAATGAATTATGTCACATTTACATTAGGTAAATATTATCTGATATCACGACTAAATAGTAAATAGAGTAGTATTCTAACTCCATGGATTACTGTAATATTCTAAAAGTGTAAAGCAAACATGTGATTCGCCAAAGGTACGTGAAAAATAGAAAGTAGCAGTTATAGTAGTAATCACTGTTATTTTCAGTGTGATTTTTTTTATCACAGTAGCAATATCACAGTGTGATAAATATTTTTCACCGTTGGACAACTTAACAGATTTATGATATCATCACAGTGTGATAAAATCACTGTTATATTATGAATGAGTAGCAGTAACTGCTACTTTTTAACATCACTAATTATTAGGTACTCTAGCTAAACACTGTCCGTAGACGTATTAGATATGCAACGGCACATGTCTGCATGTTAAAATTGGATGAAAAACAAACTACGACCAACCATGAAAGACCAATTATTATTTCATGTATTATATAAGTTCTTGGTATATGTAGACGTAAATATTATATAATACCTATATAATACATTTACGAATTTGAGTAAATTAAATTTCTTTCATCCTATCTGCAATATTGATACAACCTGATAGTATCACAGACTATAAGGCTAAAATTTCTGATTTTTCTATAACATTATGTGGTGATATACTGGTTATCACGATTACAAAGAACTTATTTTATTATTATATATGTAGATATGGAAAAGCTTTATTAAAAATGTATAGTATGGTCAGTGCTCGACTTTAAGGGGGACGCAAGGAGACGGAGTACACCAATTAATTTTGAGAAATTTTAGCGTTCCCCTACTATTATTATGTTATAATTATAACGCTTAACAAGTTTTGGGGACGTTCTTTTTTTTAAAGTAAATAGAGTTTCCCCTTCTTTAATTTTTCCAAGTCGAGCATTGAGTATGGTTAAATAATTTGATCTTATAATTTATGAAATAACAGTATGACACGGTCGTGTCACATGAATACCACGATCTCACCCGTTACACCCTTTTGCCTTGGTATCACCATTCATTCGATTATCAATCGGGACGCCCGATAGATTAATCGAATCAGTTTTCAGAGTCGGTGATGAGTCCCGAAGCGCTCGCGGACGGTGCGGCGACCGTCGCGAGCGACGACGGCGCTTGTCTGCTTTCTGCTGTCTTGTGGCTTTTTATTTACTTTCGTTGTTTTGTTGTTATTACAGTTTTGTCAAAGGACAATTGTTTCTTTCAAACTATATACTTTTTTTTACCTTTCATAACTATTATTATTATTAATTATAGTACACATATTATTATCATTATTAAGCTTAATTTTAATTTGTTTTTGATTATTATTATTATTATTAATATACTTCATTAAATTTTAAAATGTGTCTACACACACACATTTTAATTTTAAAATGTGTCTTTGGTAGACGATGATGATAAATTACGTTTTGAAGTATTACAGAGCATACCTATTTAAATTGGAAATAGAACGCTATTAGCGAATAGCGATAACGGGCGGAGGTAAAGCACGTCTGCTTACGGTAAACGTAAACGATCGACTGATAATATTTTAAGTTACTTGTAAGGTTGGTTTAGTTGATTAAAATATGAACTTAAATACAATTGAAAGGTTTATTATAATTACATTTTTTTAAGATTATTTTACAATTTATCAATAAGACAAAAGTCATAATTCACTCGAAAGTCAATTTTTTTTTTTAACTCTTTTTTTATAACTTTATACAATAGTTATGGTTGTTTTGACAATCTAATTGAAATTAGTAAAAACACTAAATATTTATCTACTTATGGAATTATAAGCATTATTTTTAATTTTAATTTTATAACTATGAATCAATTACAACGACTGTATTTAATGTATTTAATTTTTTTTTGTGTTCGGAGTTTCACTGTTATATAATAAAGAAGGCATTGAAGTAGTTTTTTTTTTTTTTAATGTCACTATTAAATACAAGCCTCTTTTGCTGAGCTTTGAACCAAACGCTCTCGGTGCAATTGCCTTTTTGAGCCCTTCTTCAACCATGTACTTAGGAGGGGTTTAACTGCGTCCGACAGGATTTAATAAGGAACCTCATTTGGCCACCTTTTTACTATGTTCGAGTCACCGAGTGGAAGTTTTGGGTGTTAAAAGTTAACCAGCATTATTTACATGTTCATATAATCGTTTTCCTTGCAAATATAATTCATTTCTAGGTCCACATATTATCATGCAATGTAATTCAATTCAGATGATATGCAACATTGTAGTGTTAACAGTTATCAACTGTTATTATATTTTCGCTTTTTACAATAGAAAATATGTATACGTGTTCGTTCATTTAGGGTTTTTGCTGAATGCTTGACTGAATGTCATTGTATTTAGTCACCTTGGTTATCTGAGACAGATTAGAGGTACAGTAAACACGTGGTGTGTCTCGGTATTCCGTTTTCAATACGGTTTTTTAATTAGTCGGCGGAGAAGTTCAAACGGAAAGACGAACATGGGTTTTTAATTGCGAACAATTTAAATGATGGAAATATCATTTTGACGGACACGGCGTAACTTGGGTAGAACACTATTGAGAACGGTACCGTTTTTTTCAGTATCTTTTTTAATAACACGATTGAGAACGTTTTTACTTACCAACTTTTATGCAACGTTGCCGCATTCATTTAAAATAGAAATAAGATATACAGATATCAATTATTTTTCAGTCTAAGATTTATTTATTTATATACTTCTTATATACTATATATATCAACTTATAGATATACTTATTTTCAGTGACCTTAAGATATTTCATGATGTCCTTTGTTTCTTCAAACTCTTTATAAGAATTTATTGTAAAAATTATTTTTGCTGGTCATGGTTTTGATAATATTGTTTTTAATTGATTTTATTATTGCTATGGTTCGTGTTTGGGTTACCTTTATATATAATAATATATATATATATACTATAAAATATTGTGCGACGTCGTTTTTGCCACTGTTGCTTCGCTGTGTATATTTTTAAACGAACAGACAACGCCACTCGTTGAAAATCGTTCACAATCGTTTGATTATAAGGTACAAAATATTGTTTCTTTGATCTGCTGACATCGTTCTCAATCGTGTTGTCAAAAAGGTACAACGTTCTCGATCGTACTCTACCACGTAACATTATGATTGTAATCATCCGTTAAAAAATAACGTGTTTTATCGTCCTGTGTTTACATATATATTGTATTCAATGTTTACACCTTGTGAATATTATTCACCTGTATACATTTTATTTTTACAGCAACTTTTTCGAGTTATTAATAATTTTCCGTTGGAACATTTCCAGTTAAATCCTGTGTGCTCGTGGATGTTTCGTTTTTTTATATTCTGAATAATGCAAGGAATATATATTTACAAAATTTGAATTAAAACACATACACAGTGACGGCTCGTGGCTTGAATGACAGGACCCCCTACTATTATTTATAAAAAGAAGATAATTCATTCTGATTGCAAAAGTATACCTGTTAATAATTTATTAAATTTATTTAATAGTTAAAATGGTGATTTTCAAGTAATCAAAATAATCAAATTATAATTGTTGTTAAGTCGCAGCCATTGTCATGTGTGTATGCCTTAAGTACAAATACGTCGTATGTGTATCAACCTAACACTGCTGAGTGCTGGACGATAGTCGCCGCCCGCCGCTTTCGGACGAAAATCGTTGTCGCCCAGGTTACTTCATACAAAAGAGATGGCAAATAGGTTTTTTCAACATACTAATTTCTGATATAAAATAAAAAATAATTTTAGCGGTGCCATTATACAAATACATAAAATTATAAATGAAAAATTAATGATTAAAATATAAAAAGTTATGTAAAAATAAAAATAATGAAAAAAAAAATACATTAAATTGTAATTATTGTTTGTTAGAATACAACTTCTAGTTGAAGTGAACACATACTTCTAATGATCTAATAGTGTCCCACTATATTACAACATATAAATTATATTTTATAATAATAAAGACAAGATAACATGTCGTTGTAAAATATTTATTATTTATATGTGCAATTAATAATTCGATGTATTGTATGTTACTTAAAAATCTGTAAATATGTAATATGGACAAATGAAAGTTTATTATGCCGCGGTGTACCGCAAGCGTATAGATCAGAGATTCCCAACCTTTTTTGACTCGCGTCATCCTTGGACATTTTCTAAAAATCCGGAGGCACCCTATGCTCTATGGCCTATATTCTAATATTCTATAGACTGCTTCGGTTCTATTTATTAATGCATAAGTATAATCAAAAGTAGTAAGGTGTAGGTGCATACTATATACATATTACATTTAATAAATAAATTATTACATTGTATTTATTTTTATTTTTAATTATTATTTATCTTTATTTATTATTTAATTTACAATATTAATTTAAAATTAGGGAAATTATTTATTTATTTATTATTGGAACTAATGTGACACTTAGGCTTGTTTTTTTTTACACAAATCTTTTATTTGTGGTCGAATAGTTGAAAGACATACTCTCATTTCTTCTTCAATGAACTCCATTTTCATTCGTTTATTTGATTTTATGTTAACAAGAGTGGAAAATCCTTGTTCACATAAATATGATGTCGAAAACTGCAGTAATATTTTTAGAGCTTTTTTGCCAATTTCAGCGTGAATTTTTTCAACCTGAATCCAAAATTCATTTTTGTATTTTAATAAAAGAGTTCGATTGTTTCGTATTTCAGCGAGCTCTTCTTCTTCTTCAAGGCTAAATTCAGTTAAACATATATTTTTATCAAATGGATCATTTATCCAATCATACTTGGAAATATCTAAATTAGGAAAATACTCGTCTATACTTTCTTCTAAGGCAGTTAAATGCTCCATTATAAATGTCATAACTTCGGAACTTTCTTCTGTTACAGATAATGAAGGAAACATATCAAATTGATTTTTTTGCACACGTTTTTTCCAGATTTTTAATTTATCTTTAAGAGTAAATAACTTACTACACGGCGTTAATATATTTTCATTTGGTCCTTGCATACTTGAATTTATTTGATTTAAGTGTGAAAATATGTCTGCCAAGTATGATAGTTTTTCCAACCATTTTTCGTTCGTTAATAATTCACACAATTCGGGTACATTTTCAAGAGTAAAAAACACAATAAGTTCATTTTTTAACTCATGTACTCTGGACAAAACTTTACCACGAGATAGCCATCGTACTTCTGTATGTAAAATAAGTTTAGTAAATTGTGATTCCATTACTTCACATAATAAAGAAAAAAGTCGTGTTTTTAATGGTCTCATTTTAATAAAATTTACCATTTTTACCACTTCATCAAGAACATTTTTTAACTGAGGACCGATAGTTTTTGCTACTAAGGCTTCTCTATGAAGGAAACAGTGAGTTGCAAGTATATTTTTATTACACTTTTTTGCCAATGTAACAAAACCTTTTATAGAACCAATCATACTAGGAGCGCCATCAGTGCAAATACCATAACAATAATCCCAAGATATATTTAATATTTTAACACGTTGAGTGCCAGTGTATTTATGATGCGCATATAGTAAGTTTCCGCGCCAAAACTGAGCCGCGACGCCGTCGGTCGACTACGTGTCGACACCGGTTCTGCGCGCCGTGCACCGTAAAATTGTTATTTAAATATTATAAAAAAAATTATTTTCTGTACGAATATATACTATATTATCAAGGTTATTTTTTTAAAAAGTAATCAATAATTTATTGCCACACTAATTAATTTTAAAATTTTAAAAAAAACAATCAATAAAATGTAATAAATACAAAATTTACATGAAAAACAAAATTATTTACGTATAATATAAGCTGTTAAAAAATAAACAGATTTTTAATTTTTGGAAAATAAAACGAATCATTAATATAATATTAAATTAATTATAATTATGTAAAAATATGAATGTAGAGTGTACCATAGTATGCGTACATAAATATAGGTACATTTATTGTTATTGTACATCCGAGCAAGATACACCCTGTAGATTATTAAAATAAACTAATACTATTTCGTCAGAATATTATTAACAACGAAAATAATATGATATCAATATATTATCGGAAATAGCACAGCCGCGTAATCGGTATTGCCGTCGCCGTCGTCATCATTCGGGAAAAATTAATTAAAACTCGCTAAAAATAGCAAAATCCAAATATACCATTGAAATCACGACATCCTACTGAATAACCACATAAAAATATTGAAACATTGCGTCTATAACCGATCAAATAATACACCCATAAAGATATACATAACATTTGTCGACTACGCGTCGACAGCGGTCCCTGAGACCGTGTGACAGTTGTCGAGTACGTGTCGACCGTGGCATTGAACGTGTTAAGATAAGAATCAATAATATTAAACGCATCAAGACCAGTTGTCGTTTCTTTCATTTCTTTGCAACAAAAAAATTGTTCTATAATATTATCATTATTAATAAAGCGAATAAACCCAATTAAATAACATTTACCACTTGTGTCGGTGGATTCGTCAATTTGAAGACAAAAACCATTTGAAGCTTTAATTTTTTTCCACCACATTTTTTTCTATGTCTTCTGACATATCTTGGACGCATCTACGAATAGTATTATTCGAAAGAGGTATTTTTTTTATTTCGGCTTCAGCCTCATTACCAAACATAATACGCACTATTTCTGAACAGGCTGGAAGAATTAAAGATTCATTTATTGTATGTGGTTTTTTATTTTCAACTATTAATTCTGCCACTTTATAACTAGCTTCAAGTTTTTTATTAGGAATAGTAACCTTTTTCTCAAAAATTACTGATTCTTTATTTTGTGAACTTAATAGTTGTTTGAAGTAGTCAATATTTTTATTAGCTAAATGATCATGTTTTTTTTAATAAATGACGCTTCAATTTACTTGGAACCATAGCTGCGTTGGATAATTTCACTCCACATACAATGCATTCTGGTTGAGGACAGTTTTCATTTCCATACCAAGTAAATCCCATAGCTAAGTAACTAATATTATATAAACGTATTTTATTTAAACCAGTAAAACTAGAACTAGCTTGATTTGATTCACCAGATGTTGATTCAATATTATGGTTGAAATTTCGTCTTCATTTAATTTTCGTTTTTTAACAATAAATTTATCCATTATTTTAAATAAAATTTAATTATATAAAATTATAAAATATCTAGACACGAATGAAATATATATGTTTCACAATGATGACTAAAACCAAACTGATTGTACTGAAATTGTTAGTATACAGTATACCTATATTATTAAATTACTATGGTCGATACATGTTTTACAAAAATTAAGATAAGATAAAAGCACAAGACATCGAAGCGATAGCAATCAAACTGGTATATGAACATTAAAATAGATTAAACATTGTAATATTTCTACAGAATATATGAAACACGATAGGTTTTATATTATTATAGTCCGTTTTATTACTCACAGTGCTATATTTTTAATGAAATTGTTTTTTCTCAAAAAATATTTCAAATAATTTCGCGGCACCCTGGTTGGGAATCTCTGGAATCGTCGTCCAAACATATAAATATCATGAAAATTTTTGTCCTAACCAATTTGAACTGCTTACCCGTGGATTACGGTTTCCGATTATGAGTTAAGGAATTTTATTATTGTCGATTGTTCGAGTAATTAATTATTATTACATTATGTAAGAATTTAATCGCGTGCGCTTTAAGCCACGATTATACACTAAAATTTGGACAATAATAAAATAAAAATATAAGAAATAAATGGTATAGGTGCAGACGGACACTTTTTCGTATTCTCGCTCTCCCTTCATCAGTACCAACGAGCCGCCACTGCCATATAGTATTTTGGGATAGAAAGTTAGATTGTGTCCGTAGTCTTCTGGACATTAGGAAAAACTAACATAATCTTTGAATTTATGTAACTTGAATTTATAAAAAACCGTTCATATTTTTATGAAAAACGTAAGTGAATTTTTTTTTTATGTTTTACTTATAATTCAAATAGTATAGAAATTCAAATATTTATACGAATTAATTTTATTAAATTAACATTTTGAAATATTCATTTTTATTTACAAATATTGACGATTTTTTTAATGCTTTTATGGTGATTGTGTCAAACATTAACTGAAAACAAATTATTGCGATTTAAAGACCGTAATTTTAATACAAGCAGGGATATTGTACTTTCTAGAAAATAAAAATTTTATCTATTTAATGTTTAGTATTATACGAGCATACGTTATTAATCGACATTCACTCAAATTAATTACGGTGACCTCATTTTCAGAATTATATAAACATTGAGACTTATAAAAAAACATTTACATTTGAGTTTATATGATCGAAATCACATTTTAGTAAGTTCTTGATATTTTTATCCATATCTGTCTTTATCATGAACCGGGTTACATGTAAATAAAACGTGTTGTATAATCGACGACCGTTTAATTTATTTATTCTGATTATTGTTAGATGGATAAATAAATATAATGGACAGGTGATTTATATAACGGTTCAATAATTCGTAATAAATGTAAATTATGGGTTGTTTAATGTATTACTTACGTCAATGTACCGATGAAGTCGAAATATAGCGTTTAACGAATAATTGAAGGATCTGGCGTTAAACTATTTCTTGACAATGTTTCAAAAATTACATAACTATATTGAATATTTAAATTTATTGATTTTTTTGTTAAAAACTCATTGTAATGTAAAAAAGAACTATAAATTGAACCTACATTCCATTCTTTATTTAAATGAAGTACCTATAGTTTATAGGTATAAGACAAGGTAATAATTGAATTAATTTACCTTTTGACTTATGAATACAAATATCATTGAAATGTATTGAAAATTTACATTGAATTAACTAAATTTATTTAATGTATAAAAAACAAATATTAGTTTGTATTTTTATCTGTACATAGGTAATGATAACAATTTTTATTGTTATATTATTACATTCAATTTGTAATTATTTTAGTTGAAATAGAGCAATTAAAGTATCAATTTAGGCTGTTAAGTTTTTAAAATCGCGATCAATTTGTTGATAACTTAAATCAAAATATAAACGTAGACAGGCGCGGGTGGAAAGGGGACTATGGAGGTTAAAACCCTTTTTAGGCATTAGATAGAACTATATCAAACGTAGGTACTTAAAATATTTAAAAAAATTAGACGTAAAAAAGACTTCGAATAAATCGATATGCGAAATGGATCATGTAACTCACTTTACTACCATTTCTAGATCCGCGTCTGAAAGGAGGTATAAAAATATGTAAGGTAACTCAATTTTTAATTTAACTAACTTAATTAACTTAATACTTTCCGACATTGGCCACATATTTTACCTATATTATCAATTTTCAATTTGTTTAGTAAAATGCTTAAATCAAAATATAACAAATATCGAGCATTATTCAACTCTTTTGGTTTTTTTTTTATATTATAATTTGTTTGCAATCACAAGCCACTTTTATGACTAAAATTTAAATACATTTTATATTATATACATACGTATAATAAAATAAAAAATTAAATCACTGTAGTTAAGAATCGTATAAAAATAAAAAGGAAGCTATATAAAGTTATTAAGAAGTAATAATTACTTCTTAATTATTATTATTTTCGAAAACTTGTTTTACCAATAGACACGAATAAAAGTAAATTTTTAAAATAGTATTTTTATAATTAACTTTTCTAAAATCAAGAATGTATTATTTGCTAATAATTCATTGGTAATTATCGTAGGCTAGGTTATTACTTACTGATGGGGCTTGATTACGGTGAGGAAATATATTTATTGCATACTCTAATGTTTGGCTTTCTATGTTCTTTTGCTAATAGAAATTCCTGATATTTCCAAATGTTAATTTTACATAATATTTAAATAACTTATAATGATAAAAAAATGATAATATATAAAATATGAACAGTAATGTCATTGGAATCGCACCTTCAACACAATCGAAAATATTACACGAATGTATAGTGAAAAGAGCAAGGTTTTGTTAGTTTTAAATAATTATACTTTTTTATAAAAATCGTATTACACATGTGGGCCTGAAATGGCAATAAACATTTAAGTATTGCAAGTCAAAATTGTTTATGAGTGAAGATGTTTCACCGCTTCGATGCTTTTAAAATTGGTTATCGAACACAAATATTCGCCACCACGTAAAAATTTAACAATAGTAACAGTTTCTAATAATTTAAAACAGTAAGGTGTTGATAAAGTTTCTAAACGCCCATTAAAATTAAACGAGAAATGGTTCGATCAAATTTCGTGAATGTAACATTAAACGATGTAAACGCCATGCACAGAAGCATTCCTTTTCATGCGAAAAGGAAAAACAGTTCACCATTACCAAAATCTACTTTTTATGAAGTTCAATCAGCATTAACACAACTACAATTAAATACTTACAAAGGTGAGCATTTTTAAAATTTTACGGGCTATATATTATAACCGTGTAAATGGTATGTTAATGTGAGGGCAACTGGTATATTTTTAAAATCCCGTTAACAGCTGTGGTGGGTGGTGGGAAGGCAACTGGTCAACACACTGTACATTGTATACGTTTGGAAATAATACAGAGATATCAAATAAGACAATTCACAATCACTAACTCGAATTCTATTTTTAGTTCTGTATTCTATAATAAGTAAATATTATGTTCCAAATAAAACCGTACAGTAACGTAACGAGCTACTTTGGTGTCCCAAACATTATATTTCGAGTTAAAATACCATATTAAATCGTTGTTCAAAATTAAGACCATTATTGTCTTATTGAACTTGTGGTGTCGGAGAATCTGGTTGGTGTGAACCACTCACCACAAATGACTCACAAAAGGGTAGTCGAAATAAAAGTACATAGAGGCGGTGTTATTAATGAAAATGTGAAATATAATAAATAAAGAACTCGACGGAGTACTAATAAACAAATAAATCATTCGACGGAACAGAAATATAAAAAAATGTACAACGGGTTAACAATGGCGTAGTAGACATAAGGTAAAAAATAAAGACATCGGCTCGGTCGACGGATCGGTGGCGAGAGCGAGCAAAGCTCGATCGAGCGATCGTCGTAACCGTCGAAGCTCGCAAAGCAGGCCGAACAATATTCACATTAACAAAGAACATAAAATAATTCGACAAGAATATAATACACACAACGGGGTGACAGTTGGTAACGAGTGATAGTGGGGCTACGCGCCGTATCCCCACAAACTGAAGGTGAACGGACTGATTTTTTTTTTCAGACAAAGGGACCGGACCGGACCACATTAAATTGAAAAACAGTAAGACCGAAAATGACCGGACCATGGTCTGAACCAATCTAGACCAGACTGTGCTATAATAAGCGGCGTTTACTAGTTGGGTCCCAATGTTTTCAGGTAGTTCACTAGTTAGGTCCCAGTATTTTTCAGGTAGTACAACAGTTGGGTCCCACGATTATGCAAGTATCACTCTTGTTGAGAACAGATTGAGCTATTAAAATAAGACCTTTACGCGTGCCCATCATTATATTGATGATTTCAGACCAGACAGCTTGCCGCTTGGTTTACTTGTACTTGTAAGTTACAGGTTTTACTGTCGTAATGGTCGGACCGAAGTAGTATGTTATGATTAGGCTTAGGGACTTATAGCTCTAAAAAATACACAGATATGCATGCAAATATGCTTTTAAAATCATTAAAATATGCATTTATATGCATTAAAAAAAAAAAAAATGACCAAATAGTACATAAAATAAAACGTGTCCATCGGAATTAAATGTATCTTTTAACTCCGAAACAAAACTTGACCTGCAATAAGTGCAACAAACAAATAACGATAATTTACCTATAGACGGTTAGTCTGTAATGTGTATTTTATGATATTTCCAAAAACTAATCTCATATTTTTGACGGTAAATTATTGTCGTTAATTTCGTGTTTATTACAACATTTTGGTACCTATATAATTCCAGATCCACATGTGT